TTGTTTGAGTGCATTGGCAGGAAATCAATAACCCACGTTCTGGTCTTTTCCCTGGCTCTCTGCTTCTTTTCCTTCTTACCAGTTTGAGCGACTTGCGTCTGTCTGAAGCTGCCACAGCAGGCGTGGTCTGTCCCACGCTGCCTTTAGTCATGATCTGACCTTCCTCCTCAGGGTGGGAGCGGCGTTTTCGCCCAACCTGCTGAAATAGATGCATTTATATGCGTGTTTCAACAAAAGGTTCAAAAAGGTTTTGTCAAAATGCAAAGAGACAGCATATAATATATTATAAAGGATTTTTTTCATTAACTTCTCTCCTAAAACAGTGTAAAACACAGAAAAAGAGAAGATTAAATGAATTGCTAACATACGTCATTCAGCACTGACTTCTGGACTGAGTGACTGAGTCCTCATATCCTATTCTTATTATTTCTGTCACTTGCTGTTAAAACATGGACTTGTGAGCCTTTTTCCAATGAAATAAATTGCTCTTTAAAAATATTGTTTGCCCTGAAAATTTTTAAAAAAATAATTTTGAGAAAAAATGCAACTGAAATATTATTTATTATTATTTATTCAGGGAAACATGACTAGTACAAAATAATTGTATACCAATCAAGTACCTTTCATTTGACCAGATTCCATTAAATGTAATGCTGTATGTAACGATATATCATGAAAAATTAACATGTACTCAAATTAGTTAAAGTCAGCATATATATTTTTGTGTGTATGTGTAAACAAATGAGCCAGTTCAAAGTCGGCAGTGACTTGCTCCGCCTACCCCGTGACTGCCCGGCTCTGCAGGCGAGGAGCCCTGTAGCTTCAGAGGATTCAGAGCTGATGTAGGGCTGCACTGTGTTTCCGGGTGGCCTTGAAACGTCAAGCTGGCAGGATACAGGAGCCATTTCTCATTGGCCAGCTCATAGGGCCACATGATGTTGAGGAAGGCAGAGCCAAGTGTCTGGAGAGCTTGACCGGGATTAGCAACCTGACAGAGGGGAAAAAAAGAAGCTTACATTTAATAAAGTATGTTCATAGATGTTTCTGTCTTGGGTCCTTTTTTTTGCTATTATGAAAAGATAAAATAAACAAGACGGACTGAGAGAAGGCAAACCTCTCTGGGCAGTATTTACTTTTAAGGAGATAGTATTGTATTTTGTAAATATTCGTTTTGAGTTCTCTCTTGTTTTTAAAGGTACATTAAGAAGTTGCAGTGCAGTAAAAGCAAGTCCAATGAGCATGCTTTTGTTATTGGCCCCACTGAAACCTATTTTAATATACTTATAATATATATTTTTCTTCTTTTTTTTACATGTAGGTGGCAAAACAGCATCCCAGATAGCCACAAACTCTTTTCTTACC